TATACACATACATATATATATATATATATATATATATATATATATATAAACTTAGACTTGCAGGGCTTAATCTTTGAGACAAGCATATGCTACTGGCATGATCAACCAGATATATATATATATATATATATATATACACATATATATACATATATATGTTTATATATATACTGTTTATATATAGAGTGTATATAGAATATATATATATATATATATCTGTACTTCTGATTTCATTTTACTGCACAACACCAGTTCATGACACACCACACCATTGCTTTGGCATCACAGCTCACAGCATACCCATGCCAAACACATACCATTCCTCTGTTGGCCACTCAAAAACATACATTTTCTTTAATCACAAGGAAAATCTTGCTTCTACTTCTTTGTCACACACAAACACACACACCTTCTCCGTCTTATTCACGGTGACACTACCCTCCAAAACCCACTTCAGTCCACATCAGGATCACTACAGTTCAGTCACAGCCAACATCTCAGGCTGTGACAATGGTGCACACTAAGTGACACGTGTGACACCGTTCTTTCAACACTAACAACCCATGAACGCCCCCCCCAACTCTCTCCCTCAGCCCTCTGCTGCACACTGACACCTCACACCACACCATAATGTCGTTCCACGACATTAACGGGACGTCTGGGAACCCAGCCACCGCTCATTTGTACACGTCTCTGCCCAATCACATCTGTGCGCACACATACCGTCCGGACAAATCGCAGCCTCTCACTGACACCCCATTAGTATTTTCACAGGGTCTCCTGCATGCACACTCGAGCTCATTGTTCCTTTCCTCAGCGTGGACTACGCCAAGTGAGCAGTGACAGAAGCTCCTGCTCTCACTGAGAGCTTTGTGTGCATGAATTGAGTCAGGACTAATTCATGAGGTACACTTTTCCCATGGCACCGTTTTCACTTTACATCAACAGGCACAGGACCACTCAGAAGTCCATCAAATCTACTCCAAACCAACAACACATTTCTACTCCACAACTGGATGTTGTCAAACAACCTCTGTTAACAGTTTCCAACTACATACCTGTGGATGATGACAGCACTCCCTCCATTTAGGCTCCAGCTGCCATTATTTCAATGCACCCCACTGCTCCAGCTGCCATTATTTCAATGCACCTGGCAAACCCCACCTACATCACCATCACTGACCCCCTGTAACCTTTACTACAGAGCTCACTTGTGTATAATAGTGGGTCAAACAGACACCTACAATTACTGTCAATGCTTACACATTGTTCAGTTAGACCGTAGGCGTACTTCACCTTAAACAGCTACGCCACGCTGCTGCTGTCAACGTGCAGACGTGCTGTGACACGGCTAATCCCAGCACAGCCTCTGTCATTTCATTTACACCTACTACCTCAAACGTCTCATCACATAAAATCCCATGACTGCCATTACTCGTGGGAATCCTAGCAGAGGCGGAACAAACACCTTTGCCTCTCAGATTTACCTCCCAACACCTATTACTACTTCATTACTTTTACACATTGGCTTCACACTTCCTAATCAAAGCCTTTACACACACATACAGCACTGACATATTTGACAATGCACACACACAAACTACAATACAACCACTGCAACATCATTATGCATACAGCACCTACACCAACCCTGTCATCACCAGTCAAACCTCTGTGTTTTCACATCTCAAGTCCATGCAGGAAGTTCTGTGTGAATGTGTGTTTCACACACTCTGGATTATACTGTCCACTGCATGACTTTGTACAGTACAGCACAGTGTGTGTGTGTGTGTGTGTGCGCAGAAAGGGGTGTGGGGACTTCACGGAAAATCCAAGCTGACCACAGGAATGTCTCAGTAACACATGCATCAGGTTCCCTTGGACCCGGCAAGAAATCTGACAGTGTTCTTTCATTGACACCTCTCACATCCACTCAGTGTTGGGCCACGCGTGCCTAACGTGCAACAGGCAGCGGACACATCCTGCCCTGAACTCCCTGTGTTCATGTCTCCAGCTTTTCATGCTGACTACACACACACACACACACACACACACACATCAACTGAGTGCCACCTGCTGGGGAACAGTTCATATGTTCTACCCCTATGTGTGAACACACATTGCAACTACTGATGTGAAGCGACATGCTTAGCTGTTACTGTCACGTTACATTTAACATGCCAGGAACAATGTAAGACATTTGTCCCCACACCACAACACTACATCCAGTGGACAACACGTCCAAGTTTGACCCCAGGAAGAAGCAAAGGGCGGCAAAATGTCACGACTACGGAAAGTTTCTGTCACTGCCCAGCCCCGTTCATGAGCACGTGGTCCTCATGAGTACAGAAGTCGTACACACACACACATAAATACACACAGAGGTGACCCAGTCCACAACAACACAGTCGTCCTTCTCCCCTTCAGCTGCAGTAACGGGCCCCCGTGGTCTACGTACTCTAAGAACTCCACTCACATGCTGAAAAACTCCAGACAAATCAGTGCAGTACTTCATTACACACAGCCGTACACCCCTTCTGTTACAGTGTAGGCCGCAGAACTGGGACTAAAGAATACTGACGAAACAACCGGGCCTGACGGCATCCATAACTCAATGACACTCAACATTCACCCCAGTGAATCACGTGACCAAACCCATGTTCTGGGTTGTCTTTCTGTTCCTGCCGTCCTTCTCTGGAATCCCATACAAAGCATTTTGTCCTGCATTAGGGGATTTCCAGTCACCCAGCCAATCACCTCCCTGCTAACTGTACTGCATGACTTCATACCCGAGTTCTTCTCAAGATGTTGCTGTGCAGTGTAAAAGTCACACTCACATCAAAAGCACACAAACACATGGAGATTGAAGTAAGTGTCTGTAATGGTGCATTACCAAAAAACACAAAAAACACACAACCACAACAACAACAGCAGTACATAATGCTGCAGGGATAAACAACACCACAGGCCACATGTAGGACACACGTTTCATATGTGTAGCAGCCACAACTGGACTTCTGCTTCATCAAAATACAATAGTTACGATACATTTCTTTTGTTCGTCTATGCTTGGGTTTCTCATGGTGATTGCTACATTAACTGAATACATAGTTACCTCCTAGCCTGACATGCTCGGACCACACCTGTGGTGGATGCTCCTTCACCACAGCAAGCAGCTAATTAAAACACTTCACATCACGTTGTGCATGTGGCCGTAGCACATTTTTTTAAACGCTGATAAGAAAACATTCAACTACACACTATGAACTACACAGACATAGAGGTGCTGTGGACTGTGCACACATGAGGTTGATGATCATTCATTTACATTTTCATGCATTTGACGGACACTTTCATCCAAACCCTTTACAAGAGGTGGATTAACAATCAAGACTGTGGTGAACCCTGGATTCTCTGCTTCTAAGGCAAGCATTCCAGCCACTACACTATGGAACAACAGCAAGACTATACATGACTTCTACGTTGTGACCAAATTGGCACTGACTAACACACAGGAGGCGGAACTACAGGCGGCACAACTGGACCTGTCACAGAGGCACACAACACTTGAAATGAGACTGAAAGGTTCTTAATTTTTACACAGACAACGTCACAGAGCCATGATTGACATCGCTCGTACAACTGTTGAAGAAGGGGTTGGCTCCACTACATAAAGGCTTTGGGAGATGGTGGCTGTCTGGCAGGACACAGAGAGGAAGACTGCAGAGATTCATGGACCGACTGACACAGGACATAAGGCCGGTGGGAAATGGAGTGAGTTCATCAAGTAAAGGAGCTAAGAACAGAAAAAACAAAGTCCACTGTCCAAATTACAACTTTTTCTTATAAAAACAACTGGCCTCAAACCAAAGCACACAGACACTAAACACAGCATCATTCACAAAAAGCAAACCACAGCAAAAGACATGAGCATCTTAACCAGCAAACATCTGGGGCATTAATCTGCCCTGACGTCCATCTGAGGTTCACTTCACTGGTGAGCTCCGCTTTCAAGGACCCAACATTAACAATGACTCTCCGTCAACAATGACTTCATCAAACGCAGTGACTCCATAAACACACATTTACAACTGCGGTGCTATTATAAGTGTTTTCAAGTTTCTTCTTTGTAAAGTAAAATTTCACATTGACCTAAACAGCAGGGAAACCCCAAACAACTCAGTAGTCGCAGTAGTACTGTAGTATTTAAATGTAGCTGATCCTTTTAACAGTGCTCCACAAAGTCCACTTCTGTTTGTATTTCTATTTGTTCTTACACAATCTTCAACATTCAGCACACAATACAACTACTACTACTACTACTACTACTTCATGTTACAAATGTTACTACAATGATAGCCAAAGGATAACTACAACCACATGTGATAAAAGTTAGAATAGGAACAACCCCAACATAAATCACACTGGTGCAAACTTGCATTGTAAAGGAAACACAATTATTTCAGTACTCCTGTGACAAACCCACCAGGTATCTCTCATCATCCTTCATCCCTGGAGTTCTGATGAGATGGTTCTGTTCTCCTCTCCAGTCACCAAAACGACGGAAGAAGTAGTTGGACAGAAACCGGTTGATGGGATCCCTGATGATGTTAATGTAGACCGGCTGGTCTATCCTGAACCTGTGGGGAAAAAATTCATTATTAGTGTTTAAAAAAAAACATTACAATCACAAAAACTGTTAAGTTACAGTACCGAGTAAAGTTGAGGAAGTGAACGTGACGCGTGTAGAGGAACGGCTGAGGGATGTTGCTGATATTCCTCATGAGATCGATCTGAAAAACACAGAGCCATTGATTTTAAAACACAACAACATCAACGTTGACATGTGGAAATCTAAGAAGGTCATGAACAGAAACATGTCTACGTCCTGAAGCAGGAACACAGTACAACCGACAGACACTTCCAGCTGAAATGGAAACAACACAAGGATTTTCACGTTGGGCCGATGTAGTACAACGTTTGAATTCTGATTCCGACCACAGATGAAAACTCTGCTGGCCTCCAGTCGCCTCTGGTTCCACCTTTCTTTGAGTTCCACAATAATTCTGTGCACACTACTCTCAACATCTCTCAACATAGGCTGGACTGCGACACAACACAGACTCATAACATTCTTCTGTTCATCTGGAAATATTCATGACTGTAGCTTGTTTCCCATCACTTACACAAACGAGGGCCAACGTTTGGAAAAAAAATACAAAACAACCCCGACTTCTTCTAATATGTTAAGGCTTCCTCGGCAGAAACAGCACTTCCCAAATTTCCTTTCCAATCTTTTTTGGTCTGCATGGACAGCCAGGCAAAAAGTAGCCAACACAAACACGCTCTGTCAATGTAGGTCTGTGTACAGATGTAGACGGATTCATCTAGATTACGACGGCTATAAATAAAGCACTCCCACAGTTGTTACAGAGGAAGCAGAGTGGAAGTGGAGGAAAAAAAACAGATTTCGGATCACATCTAAAAAGACAGAGCATTCAAGTATTTATACAGAACTTTTGTAAAAACTTGCTCTGAATGCTACTGAGATGATTTCTGCCTCATCTCCAGCACTGATCAGCAGAGGAGCGGTTTGAATCCCGGTTCTCACAAACTACGTACAGTTACATCATAGTGAGACTATTTGGACAGGGCGCAGTAATACGTATACTTGTTTATGTACACAAGGCAGTTGATCTGAGGCCCCAGTCAGATTTCAGCTTCACACCCCCTCACTCTATAAACTCAGTATATTTCCACCCTCTGCTTCCACTTCGGGTAAACGTCTCCCACTAAAACTTCATTAGCCCACTGCAATTTATTTCACCGTTGCTCCAGACGCTTCCCATCTCCATAATCAATTTTTACTACGGTAACAAACCACTTTTGTTAAATGTTGACAGAAAAACGAGCCTCTCTTCACCAGTTACCCCCTGGACTAACCCCCCACACCCTCCCCAACACCGAGGCTGGACGTGCAGACCTAGAACACAGTTGGTCAGCCTCCGTGTGTCTTTATGAGTGTTTTCTGACCCAATGCTCAGCCTTTTCTATTTCAAAGTGGACTCTGAGATTCCAGACATACCTGCCACCCCCCTCCGCCTTACACCCACTGCAACCCTCCTTCCTGAGCCCCCAGTGTCCTCACAGGGTTCATCAAGAGGAATAGAGGAAAAGAAGGGAACCGCAGGAAACTGACAGCTCCTCCACACTCAGGTCAACTCAATTAGTTTCTCTGTTTTTGGGGGTGACAAACTATTGAACCTGAACAATCAACACCTGCTGCACAGAAAATGCCTTATGGTACTCTACAATATATAAATGTTCAAGCTGGGGTGCACATTAATTACATTCCTCTTTCACCTGATACAAACTGATGACAAGTAATAAAACAAACCAAGCGACACTGAAGTTTCAACTTCTGCCCTTCAACTGCTTTACATTCTCACTACAAACTCAAACATATGCCTGGTACATGGTCTGCACTTACACATTACAGCCTTTTAAGTCCAGTTCACCAGTCAAAGTGGCCATATAACCTAATTCCAAGTGTGGAATTCAACCCACAACCCCATGGGTGTTACACAGCAACAGTAACTACTGACATACAGCAACCTTTCATACTTCAAATACAAACACTGTTGAGTACTTCAGTAAATACTTTCAGTAAAACAATAAATACTTTCATCAGAACAGTGTGAAAAGCTGCATGACTGATGTGACGTGGGCCGTACACAGAGACTCCGTGAAGATCCAGAAGGTTCCCTCCATGATTGTAAAAAGCACGGTAGATGAAGAGAAGGTTTCTCAAGTTAAGTCACACAAATACACATATAACATAACACAATATACATACATAGAATATAATATATACTGGGGCAATGGTGGCTTCGTGGTTACAGAAGACTTCAGGTTTGAGTCCACCAGCACTGAGGTGCTCTGAGCATGGCACCGTCCCCACACACTGCCCCCTTCCTCACTTTGGTGGTGGGTTAAAAGCAGAGGTCACATTTCTTTGTGTGGTGTGCTGTGTCACAATGACATGTAGTTCACTTACAGTTTCTTTTTTTTCGTCGAAGAAACCTTTGGCAGATTTACTGTTGGTGCAAACACCCGCACTCATAAACCGACCCCATGCGCAGGCGGCGGAATGAAGACTCTTTTTTTTTTATGGTTCTCCACTAGAGAACATTCACACAGATGTCATATGTTGTGAAAATGAATGAACGAATGAATGGGTCCAGTGGTGTCACTGCCACAGTGTGTTCAGTCAGCATTTCAAGGTTTGATAAATGAGCAAACATTTAGCTGTTTCAATATTGACTCGTCACATTTACATCTAATGGCTCAGCGACGGCTCACATATTCAGACTGTGCAGGTCATTTGCAGATACAGTCTGCGGCAGCTCAGTCTGACAAGATACGCTCAGTGGTGCGATGTTTCGCTGTGAGTCATCACCACTCAAACACAACAACAGAGTCACTCGTTCTCACCCCGCTGACTAAAATAAGTGTGTTAATGGGAAACGTAAGCGGAGGAAGCGCAACATGTGAGAAACATGTGAGTCGCCTGACAAAGTCTCTGGGAAATTACAGTAAAGTAAATGACCGTGAATTATGTAGCTCTACGTTTTCACAGCAACTGCACAAATGAGCAAAATCGATTAAAGAAAAGTACAAAAACAACCAGGATCTCATAAACTGTCTTTATGCCTTTTACTTCTGACTGTGCTGCAGCCTAACACTTGTGTGTTTATGTCTACTTAGGGTGGGATCTGTGCATATAAAGCATTGTGCAACTGACTTACAGCTTTATTATTCAGGCGAACGTCAGCATTAGATCAGGATCAGTCGATATCTTATAAAACTACACAGAATAACTCGGATGCTAAACAGACTGCTGATGACATCTGTACTTTCCAGGGGCTGATTATTGAGCCCTTCTGTCTGGATCACTGACTCCTGCAGGCAAGTAAATATGCAACATACAAACATTTTCTATTTTTCATAGCACTGTTTGTACTTTTGTGTAAGCAAAAAAATGGCCTGAATACACTTGGTCCAGATGTTAGCTATTTCCACCGTGGCTCCAACTCAAATCATCTGCTCAGCTGTCCTGCCAAAATCGGGTTGGAAGTCATGCATTTTCAAACAGTGCCCCGTAGTTCCCTTACTCACACTGACATGAAGTCAATGCTTTGCATTATTTATTTATTGATTTATTCATTTCTTTCTTTAAGTAAGTGAAAAGACTCACAACAGAGGACAGTTCATGTGTGTTCCTTTCGTGCCTTTTACATATGTTTTCAGAGTATATATTTACACTGGCAGAGGCCTGCACTTCTTCATTTCCCAAAAGCCCAGGCACGTTTTCTTTTGTCTCTTTAAAGCAGAACTGTGTCTCCTCTTTAAAGACAACACTCGTTTCCTCAAAATATTCCATGGCATAATTAATAAAATTCCTCTTCCTCCGGCTGCTGACTGTTTGAAGATGCTTGTTGAAAAGCAAGTTACATAAAAAAAGGAAGAAAAAAAACACAGACACAGCACTAGTGTTTCAGACACGGCTGTCAAACCATTACAGTTTTGTACAGGATTTATCACAGGGTAACTGTGGATCAATCATGATTCCACCATTTCATTTACACATGCTTTGGTCGAACAACAGCTTCACATTTTCCTTCCTTACGTCTAACCCTCCACATCTCAAGCATTAATATCACAACTACAAATTCCAAACCATCCCCTACACCAATGCCTAGAGTGCATGGTAATTAGCCAGACTGCAGTATTGATTCTCCTTACGTGTGTACTTGCAAATGTAGAAGGCAAACACGGCAATAACAGTTTCACCATAACAAACTGAAAGGCTTTCTCTGGGTTTAACTGTTTACGTTTTCTTTTTTCTTTATTTTTACCTGTTCATGTTTGGTGAGTCGTGTTTTATTGTGGATATCAGAGGAGACCAGGTTGAACTGGTGTTTCTCAGCCAGTAACCGCAACAGGATGACCACCGTCCGGCTGCCGCACTTCCCCACACGGTTATAAACCACCTGGCTGGGGAACGGGAGGACCTGATGGATGAGAAGACACAGAAAAAATCTCAATCAGTGAACGAGCAGAACATTTGTCTTGAAGGCTAAAGTTAAGTATTTACTACAGCAACAGAAAGGCAGGACAGGAAGTCTTTCAACGACTTCCTGTGAAAAGCTCAAACAAGGTCAGAACTACATAAATTCAGTTCATATTCATCAGAATCAGTCGCCCTGAACGTTTTATTTTTCTGACCTTCATGCATACTAACTCTGATATATGACACATTCAAACACATTTAATTGTCACTATGTTTTTGTGAGGACGGGCGGCGGGGGACGGGGGGGTGATGAGGTCATTGACTGATGTCTGTACGACAAGAACATAAAGTGAATCAACTGTTTGGTTACAAATGTTGATTTATTTGAGGAGCTATTACAGTTGTGGCGCAACAACTCCAATGAATTTCAACTTGTATATCTTCTTGGCTCATTTTTTTCTCTTATACTGTCTGATGAATGGAGTGAAATAAATCAATATTCTTTCACATTTATTTATTTCACTTTATTTCCATTGTTCAATGACAGCAGCGGTTCTGCAGGAATTTCAAAAGGGGCAGCAGACAAGGTCAACCACCGCCTTAACCTTTGACCTATCACTGAGCTCAAATCCTCAAAAAGACCTGTATATAAATATTCAAGGACAGACAAACACACACACACACACTTAAAACACAATCACACTGATCCTTTTTCTTTGTTTTCATCACAGGGCCATGAGTCAGACTACTGCGCAAGGTGGTGATGATGATGATGAAACTTTTCATTTGCGATTTCACATGGCACACACACACACACACAACTGGCACAATGTACACTACACACACTTCATGACTCACCAAATAAACACGTAGCATGAATCAGACCGGCAAATGAAGGAAATCTGACGCAGCCCGGACTCTTTACTGCAAAACTGCAGTCAATGGAGGAGAGAAAATGGGAGCGACGGGCATTTTGACATGAAACTCATTCAGCCACAAGAATTCGTTTTTATCCCCGAGGTCTCACCATGTTTGCACAAGTGGCCCTTTAGGAATTAACGTCAGCCAAGTGAAGACAATGAAGAAAACTGAGAAGAATCAAAGGAAGCATCTGAGACTGGGAGACAGTCGGAGGAGAACAGATTTAGAACAGGCAGCTACGATTGATTCAGTCAGACTATTACCTTGAAAGATTTTCCCTTTTCTAATGACGCTCTCCTATAAATCAGGCGGAGTAGAGGGGTGGAGGGGTGGGGGGGATTCAGCAGTGATAATTCTTGGTAAAATTCCCAGTCTGGAAAAGTAATAGTGTTTTTCCTGAGGGGTTTCCTGGTTGGAGGGCGGTCTGAGTTGTTTACAACCTCACAGGGTGGGAAGTTTATGAACAACTTAGACAGTTTCATAGGTGAGTGATAGACTAAGTGGTTGATAGATGTTAGTGCTGTCCAACAAAGGCCTCCGCAGAACAGCAGTGAAGTCATCTCTGTGGGTAATCTGCCTTTGAGAGGAAATGGAAAACTAACAGATAAGCAGAAAAGCAACAGTAAAGAACAAAGAAAGCAGTGAGGAAACACTTGACCATCAGTCTACGTGCCAGCGAATGACTTTAGCATCACGGGGATGACAGGTCATCACACTGATCACTTCCTGCTTGCTGTTTCCCAGACTTTTAAAGGTTCACTGAACATCATTAGAGGTCGAACTGGTTTGACACAGTGTGAACAGAAGACATACAAGTACTCTTTCCAAGAAACGAGGGAGATGAACTGGAAACACAATCCACAGGTGAAGTACTTGTTTGAACAGGCTTTTTTTTTAAACACTTGTTTAACAGCCAGGTCTTAACTTGTGGCACATTGTAAAACACAATTTGTATTCTTAATTCATGTTTTGCCAGGTCAAAGAAATTTCAATGTAATTTCTCTCTCTCGCACTATATATATATATAGAGAGAGTATATATATTAATCACCCTAATTCATATTTTATTTCAATTAACCTGGTCCAAAACAAACAAAACTTAGCTCCTTGCTTGCAGTTTTGGAAAACATTTCAGATAGGAAATGGTTCTCTAGGACTCAAGTCCGACATTCCTCTGTTTTTTTTTTTCAAGGAAAAATTCTGCTCTTATCACAAAAATGAGGCAGACTTATTACAGCCTGTATTTTTTTTCTGATCAACATTCGCCTGCTGATATGACGGCTAATGACATAACATCTGAAACAATGTCATCTGAAGTCGTCATCTCCCATGCTAGCATCGACAGCGGAGGAAGGACAAATGCACAGTTTTTGCTGATGACCATCTTTACTCTGTTGATCTTGGATCTGCGATGTACACTCAGACAAACATTTTCAGGGTCCATCAGTACGGAATTCTGTCAATAAATGAGTCACATTCAGAAAAACATTACATAACAGCAGTGTTTTCAACACCGACTCTGGATCCACCTACTTCCAGGAGGCCGTTAGTTGTATTAATTACAGAGCCGATGCTGCTGAGTCATCACAGCCAAAGTCAACCAGAGTATCCAAAACCTATAATTACTTAATAAGTACGTAGAAATCTAAAAAGAAAAATAAATAAATAAAAAGATTAAGTTTCGTTCTGATAGGGTTATTTTAAAACCGAGTATTGACAATACATCGGGTACGTGAGTATTTCCATTTATTTACGTACTCTTATGTACTTACTGAGTATCATCTCCAATATCACCCCCCCACACACACAAAGGGGCCCGCCCCAGTATTTGAGAAGTTGTGGGTAAAATGAAGCTTATTATTCGACAATAACCTACATTCACAACTCATGTTTGTCTGTTTTTAGTTCAACTTCCCTCTGAGGTCACTGGTCTCTACTATCTAACTGCTCACCCACAGTTTCCTGTTTAATCAATTAGTTTCTCTCACTGCCACCAAAAGAAAAAAAGTAGAGATTTTTTGCTGCTTCGTGTAACTGACAGAGTGACTTCCGTGCAGGGAAGATTTTCTGAATTTAGAATCAATTTCAAGTGAACAAGTAAAAGGACAAACTGTCAAATCCCTCACTTCAACCATCCCCACATATTACTTGTTAACAAGCAGAAAACGTCCTAATATAAGTGACAAGAAAGGCATGAAATAGTTCCAAGTAAATGTCAACTCTTTTCAGAACACACTTCAGAATTAAACATTTCCCTATTTACTTGGCCTGGAGAACATTTAGGCATCAAAAAGAAAACGTGGTATATTTGAAAACTAGACTTAAAAACTACCAAAACACGTTGGTGAATATGATCCTGAAACAATATTTAGAAACATGTGTAGAGGAGCAGACATTCCTGTCGTGCCTCCTTTCACATAAACTCTTCTAATTTCACTCTGGGAGCTGTGTGGTTTTTCTGTACACTGTCATTTAAGTTGAGCTTCCAACTTGTAGCTTTCTAACATTTCAGTACATTTACCAGATACCCAGGCGTACCCCTGCACATACTGAGACGCAACCACCTCCTGCTGGATTTGCAGAGGAATGCCACGTAATTAAAAAATGTGTGGACAAATTATTTCATAATAATTTAAGAACAACAAAAAAATATATGTGTATAAATATATGTATTTATAACTATAGATATATGTATACATGTGTTTGTTTCAATTTTTTCTTTAACACAAATCTGATCCTTAATGTTTTTTCTACACCACACTGTAAATGATTAGATAATTAACTGCAAATATATCATATTCTTACCTTGGATAAAGTAGTTCTGTTGCACTTTTTTTAAAACTAAATTGCAATTGAATCCACCAACAAGACTTTAGTTGTTCCTGACATTCACTGCATGTGGATTAAAATACAGTACCTGGGCCAAAACGTTGTGATTATCTGATAAACTGCTTCACATTTACAGTCATGTAAGACATTATTATGACTTAAAACGTTATCCATCAACTATAAAAAAAACAACCAAAAAACACAATTAAGAACTAATTGAAAATACCTCCTTTCTTTCATTTCTCTGTTTGGATCAGGCCCAGAGATTTGACAGTGTAAATATTCTGGATGATTCCCCTCAGGAGGCAGTGGATCGGCCACACTCCAAACCTCATCTCCAATGGGAAAATGAAAATCAATACACATTTAGTGAGCTCACTTTTCATTACATCTATGCAGCAACCCTAATATCAAAAGCCTGGCATCCAGACCAGAGGAGTGCAGTTCAGAGACTCAGACATAAACAGAGAACTGCCTTTGTAATTACAGCGCGTCGATTATGTGATTTTGCCTAAAGGATAAAGCTGTTATCAGATTGCAAACATAGCCCCCACGGTTTGTTCAGTGTAAATAACACTCTGCTGTTATCAATATCAAACAAGTGTTGTGGTTGTCTGGCGTTGGCTCTTTGGCTACAGTTGGATTTCCAATGTAAACTCCCAGAGTCTCAAACTAATCCCACATGTGACCTACAGTGGCTGAATCAGGTCACGACAACCTCGCATTATCTATACGCAAACTAGGTGAGTTCTCTGTCAACATCATAACCACGACGCAAACAATGATAGCTCCTGAGTCTGAATGGAGCACTTTCCACGACAGAGGAGATGAAATTGTTGAGGAATTACAGCAAAATTGACCAAATGACATAATGTATAAGGGGTGAAGGGAGGACGAAGGGAGTAGGAAGGGAGAAAAGGCACATGGAAGAGATGCAGCTGGATGAATACAAGGCTTCTGTGTCGGTGCGGTAAGTCAGTGTGTGTGTGTGTGTGTGTGTGAGTGTGTTAGAGAGAGACTGATTCAGTGCGTTACTGCAGCACCCAAACTGTGACTGCTTGGTTTGTATTCAGCTCTTTCACGCAGACCTTTTCTGCCTGAACAGAAGTGAGCGGTTGGGAAAACATCAGACAGAGATCAGATTAGGAGAAAAACAGGAAACAAAGGAAGAAAAGACAGATAAGGAAATACTTACTCTTGGAGCAGGGGGTCCGTGGTCGTCCAAATAAGTGGATGCACCTGTAAAACAACAGAAAAGCATAAATGGAAGCATTTCTGAAAGAATCATATTTGAAAAAACAATGCTCTAAGTCTTCGATTATTAACGTAAGGTGAAACTGAGGAGAACTTTGGATGATTTACGTTATGTATTGTCAGCAGACAGAAAGTTCTGGCTGAAGATCCAGCACCGTTGACTGTATAAAGAAAATCCATGGTGCCATGCACAGCCCTGAGGAGCTCCACTGGTCCCAGAAGTACCAGTGTAAACAGAGTTTTGTTTTTGTTTTTTTGGAAAATATAAAGATTCCCTTCACAGTATTTCACAGTACAAAAAAACTACAAATAAACAATGAAAATATATTTTTTAAATAGAAACCAAGAGTATCGCGCCAGGTTTTTCTCTCTTTAACTGAATCTAAATTTACAAATGTCCAATGTTTCCATAGTATTACACTAATCAGTGGTGCAGAGGTATTACTTTCTAACTATAGATTAAAACCTACAAAGGAAAACTGTCTAGACTTCGCACAAACAACAACAAAAAAGTTCTCCGAAACATCTAATAAAGTCACCTCTACAACAAAAACTATCTGAAAATCTGACCACCTCTGGTGTTATCTGAGACGTTAATATTTGAAAAATACACACATTACTTTTTATACTTTGAAATCCACTTGATCATTACATGTGACAGCATTTTTAGTGTCATCTTCAACGGCCTTATCAATGTCACTATCAAAACTATCAGGGATCAAACAGGGGACATTTTTGCAGTAAGGCAAGTGCCCGAACCACACCATCACTGTGAGGCCCATATTTACAGTGAATGACTTGCAGTATAACGTCCCAAATGTTATCACATAATTTGTAAACACTCCACTAGTGTATGAGAAATGACAGGTCAAACTCCAGACACCGCCACAGTCACACGATGATTTACAGTGTTGTAGCCCATTATGACAACACAAACATTTATATGTTTATCACTGTGATGTTGTTTTTTATGAAAACAGTGGAGTTTAACTGCAGACTGCTCCAAACTTCAGGGACTGTGTCTGACTTTCCTCTCTGTTTTTCTAAACCCCAAGCTCCACACCGAGGCACAGTAAGACCAGTTTTCTAAACCCCAAGCTCCACACCGAGCCACAGTAAGAGACAGTGATGGAGCGAGTTCAACTGGAGCGTATGGGGAGTTCGGCCATAAAGTGAAGTATTAGATAAACAGACAATTTAGTTCCTTTATATTCTAAATGTGATTTCACACAGTCTAGAGATTTACCAGTTTCCCACCTGTCAAACACTTGTAGATTTATTATAAACACACGTGTATTGCATGACCTACTGTAAGTGCTGTTTGGACAGCGGTGTGTAAGCTTTGAGTAATTACAATGAGATGGCCTGTGCCTCTCTTTGCCTCTGTAACAGGTCTGAACACGAACGCCCACACGGCTTCTGTTGTATTCTGTGGTTTGGCTCATTAATGTCTTTGATGCTTCATGTTTAAACACAGTCACAGCTGCACTAAGGTCCCCACCTGCTGACTACTATTTTTTTATTTTATTATTTAAGAATCTTTCCATCTTAGCATCTGTCTCCCTGTCATGACGTCATTCACTTTTTCCGATGGAATGCTGAGCGGGGCATGTGTTCGCACCTCACCTCTGGGGGCGTTTAAGGTCATGGTTCCAGGGAGAGGATGCAGAAATGCAAAGACTTCCGTTCTGTCCCCTGTCATCCATCATGGACAGCTCAGCTCATCCTAACCCCTCACCTCTACCCCCCTCCCACCTCCCTCCTCACCTCCACTCTACACGTGTGTGCTTCCCATTAGCGTTCTGGACAGAGAATTGGAACTTTTTATTTTTCCGGAGCACAAGGTCACCAGAGCTGACAGCTGACCTCCATCTCCCACCCACACCGCTGACAAAAATGGAAAATGAAATGAAACACTATAGAGTGCAGCGTACTGCAGTCATTGACCTCACTGTCTTTAAAATAGAAACAGATGAGACGCAGCCTTGAGTCGTTTCCATTTAAACCTGCTGAGATAAACAAGAAACACATATATTCCCTCATTTTAAAATAATTTAAAAGTTTTATACAAAAAAACAAAAATCCAAACAAACAAGTTAAAAAAATAAATTAGATAAATCCAAACAAACAAGTTAAAAAAATATACAAGTAAATCCCGTCTCTGTCTCTCTGGCCTGCCTGACCAGGCTCACAACAACAAGGATGTCCAAACAAACTTAATTATTATACTTAGGAAATCAATTTAAAGCAGTAAAAGGCAAACACAGAATCAACATGTTGTCCCACCTCCTCTGTCGTTACACACAGAAGACGGAGAGAAAGAGAGACAAGGGAGTGGGGCGGAGGCTGAGCATGTTTGACCAAAGAAACTGGGAAGGAAGACAATATAAAAGACTGGTTTGTGTGTGTGTTTGTCTTCACTGCAGTGTCTTTTGTGAAGGCTCTCATATAAGATTTGTTATATAATGCATAGTAAAGAAAATAAGTAAAAAATAGTAAAAAGTAATCTTAAAAGTGGTTCATTAAAACTACAGAATCAATAGATTCATAATAATTACTGTAGATATTTAGACTATAACAGTAACTTAAAGTTAAATTTGTGCTCTTTAAATGCATTCCAATTTCCCAATATGAACTATTTCACACACTTTTTAAATATTTGCGAACATATTTTAACACGTCCGTAAATAATAAAAATTCTTAGAAAACATTATTAGAATAATTACTGTAATTATATACTTGTATTACTATGTATACTAGTATCATTACTTTTATTATTATTATGTTGTTAAATTCACATTATCCAGTACCTGAATTCCAAACATTTGTGGAAGTTTTGAAGATGTGTTTCCACCATTACTCCAAGCCTAAACAGGTTTAGTAGCTTCGCTATCTTGATTTTCCTTCTTTTTTTCTCTCTGGAACGTAGAAGGTCAAAGTAAGTCAAGGAAGAATTAAGGAATTAAGTGAAGGTCAATGCCACCTTTGAAGTGAACACATCCTCATGTTCAATAGTACTGCAGCAAAGGCATGTAGCCAATTGGTTAATTGGATTACTGTGTCACAAGACCCTTCTCTTGGGATCATAAACCTTTTGAAGAACAATCATCTAACCAATAGTGCAACGTGATCAACATGAATCACTGTTGATGCTTTTGTTCTGCTGTAAAAACCAAATGACAAAAGTCTTTGATCAACACATGAGGCCTGGGAAAATCAACACTCTATTACTTTCCCAACAGCACAACAATACTTCCAGATTAAAAACTAACACCAAACAGGCTTCAGCTGATGGATTTATAAGGCAGAACTGATTTCTAATAAACATGATTAACGTCACAGATTTCATTTTCTGCATAATTCAAACGTGTATCGGGGACATTATTACAGGAAATCTGCCATCTTGGCACAAACCCATTATTGTCCTCCACAATAATTTGAGGACAAGAGCAAAACAAACAACAAATCACAATTATTCTCAATATGTGGCCACTTATTACAGGACTGGCAGCTGGGTGCATTCAATTAAGCTTTACAGCCAGACCCATCGTCACACTGATACAAGCAAAACAAAGCAACTAGACTTCATTTCATTTGTAAGGTCATTGTATTCCCTAGAGTAAAAACAAAACCCTTGTCAGACCTTCACAGACCTTGATAATATTGTGTAATTTAATGAGAGTTGTTAGAATTATGTGCTTACAGACCCACGGTGGAAATCACATGCATGACCTTTTAACCCAAGCCTAACACGGCCACTTAAAGAAAACAAAAAAAACTGCTCCTCCAGACTTTTTCAGGCTAAAATGAAGCCATACATTACTGCCTGAGAGGTACACCAAGTACATGTTGAATTGGACTGGATTTGACCCTGTCTTGGTTGGTCTGATAGTCTATAGAGTTGGTACAAAACATTTAAACTCTTTACTGGAACACTAAATGAGCATTTACACACCAGTCATCACAACAAAACAATAAAAGTAACTTCCTGATATGGACAGTTCATTATGTATTACACCAGACTGGAGAAAGAAGTATAATAAATACAACAACACACATACACTGTGTGTGCTTATCTGTGCAAACCGGGGACAGAAGATAAGTAAAGACAATATAGGTGAATAATGTGAGCCGCACACCGAGACCAAACCAGACCAGACCAATTTCTGCTTCTGGAATTCTCTCCTCGGTGTTGGCCTTCTTTAGGAATGCTACGCTAAGTTCAGAAACTTCAGAAAACATGTATTTAAAGCTGCTGAAACTGTTTCATTTGCTTAGCGAAGTTGGCGAGCTCGGCTAAGTAGACCTTAGGAAAGAACATATCCCAGAATAGGCCCGAGGTAGGAGCGGAAAACCACACAGGAATGGCCATTGAGCAGAAGGCCAAGAGGAGAGAACCAGGACTGAAACTGAGGGCCTGTTGCTGAGCTGCTGAACACGACCCAGGGCAGGGATGAGAGGCTGAAGAGCCGCAGCACAGGAATGTGCAAGTAGCATGTGAGCCCCTGAGCAGATTACACGTTTCTCAGCCTGTGAAGACTAAACCTCGTCATCCCCAAAACCACATCCTGCTCTAGTTCTTTTATACCAAAGGTGAAAATGACAGAACACACCTTTCATGTTTGCGTTGTGTTCATGCTTGGTCGTTTTATGGGTACAGAACACAGTTTTTGAATCAAACAAAGACAGAAGGAAGAAAAGGAAGAAAGAGATACATATGAAAATCTGTGCAGCAGCCGAAAATTGCATAACCTCAGGCGTAATCCAAAACACGTCCCCAGAAAACACACACTTAAAGTTAGAGCATATCTATGGTTACAGCCTTTACTAAACATTTGTGCCATAATAGGAGGCATATGCAAACAAAGACAGCGTGCAAGGGCTGCATGCATGCTGTTCTGTGTCTGTTTATCACTAAAATGTGTGCATGTGTGTGTGTGTGGCCACAGAACCCTTTGATTTGGACTCTAGGAGTTGCCCTTCAT